TGTCTTCTAGTCTTTTTCAAGTGCTTTGTTTCTTTTTTAACTGAGCATTTTATATGATTCTGTTGGTTAAGCTTTGGTTAATTAGTTTTCTCTGAGGGAAAGTCTTGTTAAGAAATGCAGAGCATTCTGGAGTATTTCAAAATGGTTCCTGTTTCCCTTTCCCTCCCAAAACATGAGGAGATTTTTCTTCACTATTTACTGTGGGAACCTGGTGGAACTCCTGGAAGTAAGTCTCACAATATTGTAGGAGACCTCAATGACTTGGCTTCCCTGGAGTTTTTATCTCTCAGACTTGTTCTTACTGATCCTCTAGCAATTTGTCAATTGATGGTGAAGTTTTTCTACTTTGACAGTGGTTCCCACACTGCTTTACACTCATGAGTATTTTCTCCATAAGCTGTAACTCCCTGTTTTCACCTGTCTGTCTCTTCAATCTTCGGGGCAGTTGTTTGCCCTGTGTCATCACTCTTTTACAGATCCAAGAAAATTTGTTGCTTTTCCAGTCTGTTCAGCTTTTTATTTGTGGTTAGGACAGAGTGATAACATTACATGCAGAAACAGAAACTAGAAGTTACTCCATGTGTTCTTTATTTGGCTTATTCTAATACCAAGTCATTAAGTCAGAGTTAACTTTGACATTTGCATTGTTAATGTTCTTTAAAGTAAGTTGAAACTTTGATATGGAAATTTTTCTCAAGTAAGCAATTCTAGGCAGGGATTTTGCCCCAGATAGTATACTGAGCAATGGGATAAGAATGGTTATAAATCATCCCTTTTAACCTGTTGATGTACTTCACAACTTGAATAAATGGACTTCTGAATGGTTGTTCCTAACCTTTTTTTTTTTTTTTCCAGAAGCCCTGCTTTTTCTCAATAGTATCTCTTAAACTCAATAATCAGACTTTTTTTCTTAATAGTATCTTTTAAACTCACTAATCAGACTTTTTTTTTCTCAATAGTATCTCTTAAACTCAGTAATTAGACTTCTTTTCTATCTATATATGTAATTTTTCCTTGAGTTACAATGAAGATCTTTTTATAAATGACTTTCAAATGTTTATCAACAGCCCTAACATTTTTCTCAAGATTCTTTTCCACATATTTAATATTTGGCCTATGCGACTGAAACTACTCTCATTTCCCCTTCTCCAAACTAGTCAACCTCAATAAACTCTTACTCTCATCTTAGTAGTACACTTTTTTGTTTTTTCGAGACAGAGTCTTGCTCTGCCTCAGCCTCCCAAGTAGTTGTGCCACCATTCCCAGCTAATGTTTGTATTTTTAGTAGAGATGAGTTTTCACCTCCTGACCTCAAGTGATTGTCCCGCCTCAGCCTCACAAAGTGCTGAGATTACAGGCATGAGCCACCACACCTGGCCGGTAGAATACTCTTGTCTTCCTAATAGACTAATTTAAAAAGTTAAGGTGTGTTAATTATTGCCCTTTTTTATCTTATATCCATTCACAAAGTATTATTGATTCATGTTAGCATGCTCTGGACTCTATTCTTGAATCTTTTCTCTATCTATATTCCTTCTCCTAGTGATCTCCTGTCTATTTAAAGTCCCTTGCCTTTAAAGTTTTAGCATACCTATATGCTAAAACTCCCAAATGTATATCTCCAGTCAAATCTACTTATCTTTTCTTTAAATTCTTATTGTTTACCGCTCACTTGACATCTTCACTTGGAAATGTAGTAGATATCTCCAGCTTAATATGTCCAAACTTTTGATCTTTTCCACCAAATCATGTGATTTGATTACTTCCATTCTTTTATTTACTTGAGCCAGAATTTTAGATTTGTTATTCTCTCTTCTCTTTCTCTCACATCCATCATCAAATCTTTCACAAAATTGTCTTGATTGCTGTGCCTTCAAAATATATTCACTTCCCATGATCTCTATTATTACCTTAGTTCAATAATGTACAAGCTTCTACATAATCTTCCCCCTTCCTCCAAATGTCTCCAATATCTGCTTTTTATCACTTACTCCACTCTAAGCACCCTATCCTTGCTGTTATGTGAACATGTGAGATGCACTGCTACCTTGGGACCTTTTCACTTGTCTTGGAACCCTCCTTTCTGTGTTTGTCTGCTTGAAAAAACATCTTATTCAATTCTCTCTGAAATCCCACCTTCTCAGTGTGTGTTAAATAGTCTGACCACCCTATATAAAATTGCAAAATGCCCTCTTCTTCTGGCATTTTGATTTTCCTTTTTCTTTTTCTATTTTATTAAATATATAGTTTATATAGCCACTAGGTATATGTGGCTATTTAAATGAATTTAAAATAAACATGTTTAAAATTTAGATTCTCATTAATACCATCCAGATTTCAAATGCTCAATAATCATGTGTGTCTAGTGGTTACCAAATTGGACAGCACTGATAGAAGAACATTCCATCATTTTAGAGTTCTATTGGACAATACTGTTCTAAGTTTTATAACAACGATTAATCTTCTTGTTGTAATCTCTCTAACCTTCAGTACCAGTTGTATACTGCTATCAGCTGCATCTTCCTAAATTATTACTTCCATCATGAGAGCAGAATGTAGTATTGGGACATAGTGAGAGCACTGGAGTCAGAAATATTTTAAGTCTCAACCCTGGTATTTGACACTTAATTTAGATTTTTTTTACCTCTGTTTTCTCAAAATGAAAATGGAGATATTATCTTCTTGGCCGAGTTGTTTAGATTAGCCAGTATATGTGTTCCTGAGAAAACCTGTTCTCTGAAAAATCATGGACTAAAAACAGCAGGGATTCTGAAAAAACAAGGTTAGGAAAGACCATTCAAAACCCATGAAACTTGGAAACAGAAGAGTAAAAATCAAAATAACAACACGATTAAAAAGTCATGTTAAATTTTAAGCAATAAAACTATTTAATATGTAATAGTAGTCTAAAATAAAATAAAGATACCTAGATGAAAGGAGTATATCTAGATGAAAAGAAGGATAAGTCTGCAATGTTATGGCCTCAAGAGGACTATCCACAAACATCAGTAAAGACCCAGGCAGTACATATATCTAAGACAGAGTTTGTGACCAAAGAGCCAAGAAGAGCATTGTGTCCAGGTCTGTATTTCTCTGGTTTGCTGCATCCTGCTTTGTTAGTGTACTTTACATGCAACTGCAGTTATTTGGAAGTTGTAGTGGACACTGCTGATGTTCCACCCATATCCCCTTTACCAGCTGGATTACTCATCTGCAGTCATGGGGACTATTGGTTGTTAACACCTCACAGCTGTCACTCTCTCTGGAGAATTGCCTAGTCAAATGGAAACCACCGCATCCATAAAGTTAAACACCTTGCTGACTCTATACTGGCAATCTTCAGCCAATGAGTGGCTAACACAGGAGTACCAAAGTCCAGCCGTCTTACCTCAAACCCTGGGCAGTTATTCATGTTTCAGAGCATACAGATGGATCAGGCTGAGAATACATCATTGCTTAGTTTCTTCCCTTTTTTCTTGCCCTATTGTGCTCTTCTCCTTTCTCCAGAGGACACTACCTCACTTATTCATATGTATGTGAATCTTTGTTTCTAGGGAATCTAATCTAGGGAGATCATATTGTAAAACATTATCATGATAGGAAAAATCACATATGATCAGGTTGTTTTTCTGAGTTATTTCTAAAAGAAATGTTGTAACAGACACTTTTTTTTTTTTTTTTTTTTTTTTGAGACGGAGTTTCGCTCTTGTTACCCAGGCTGGAGTGCAATGGCGCGATCTCGGCTCACCGCAACCTCCGCCTCCTGGGTTCAGGCAATTCTCCTGCCTCAGCCTCCTGAGTAGCTGGGATTACAGGCACGAGCCACCATGCCCAGCTAATTTTTTGTATTTTTAGTAGAGACGGGGTTTCACCATGTCGACCAGGATGGTCTCGAACTCTCGACCTCGTAATCCACCCGCCTCGGCCTCCCAAAGTGCTGGGATTACAGGCTTGAGCCACTGCGCCCGGCCAACAGAACACTTTTTAAAAGTGCATAGCAGAGTTCCTAGCACATTGTAAAAGGTCAATTACTAATATCTACAAAGAGTATGATGAAGATAATGATATTACTTCCTACTCAGAAATTTTCAGGCTCTTTCCATTACCAACCTCATGATGTTTTAGATATCTAAAACTTGAGTCAAACTTACTTTTCCTACTTATTTCTGTACTGTTTCCCCACACTGAACTGTTGTTTTTCTACCAACTTAGAAGTCCTTCTACTTTCCTCCCATCTGACCACATACCAGTTGCTTTCTAGGACTCATTTAGATAGTATCTCTTCTAATATACTTTGTATAAATGTGTGAAATTATTGGACTGTTACTATCCTCTGATTCATCATATTTTTATTCTCAGACTTCTACTGTATCTCAGCCCCCTCAAATACTGTAAGAAAAATGGTAGCCAGATGCAGTGGCATGGGCCTGTAGTTCCAGTTTCTTGGGAGGCTTAGGTGGGAGGGTCATTTGAGGCCAGCCTAAGCAGCATAGTAAGACCCCCATCTCTTACAAAAAAAGCCATTTATACATGTACTACAAGTGGTATTCAGGGTGTTTTCTAAAACTTTTTATCACTTAAAGAAATGATCTTAATGTTTAGCAGTTTATTATGAGCTTAATAATTTTAAATAATAGAATTATTTGAAGCTTTTCTAGGTCACTAAAGAGATGAAAATATTTTTAGAATAAATTTAAGTCTTTTATTGAAGATAATTAACTGTATGTAAAATTTTACTCTCAGTATATATAAAAGTTTTACCCAGCACAATGCCTTGGATATAGTAACTATCTAAATATTTGAATATCTGTCATTCCTTTCTAATGTATGCTTATAAAATATTTTATCTTAATAGTATGGTTTATTCATTATACTTTATATTTATTATATTAAAAATCTTTCAACTTCACCAACATTTTATGTTTTGGAGTAAAGTACAAAATACACAAAAGGACTTAGTATGTACATAACTATAATATTTATTAATTTTTTACCTTTAGATTATCGACATGATGGTCGAGATCTTCAAAGCTCAACATTATCAGTTCCAGAGCAAGTAATGTCGTCAAACCATTGTTCACCATCAGGGTCTCCTCATCGAGTAGATGTTATAGGAAGGACTAGATCATGGTCACCCAGTGTCCCTCCTCCACAAAGGTAAGATAGAATACTCATTATATTTGTAGGGTGGCAGTATTATTCAGTGTCCTCCAGAGGCACAGAACTAATAGGATATATGTATATATGAAAAGGAGTTTATTAGGGAGAATTGGCTCACATGATTACAAGACAAAGTCCCACCATAAGACTTCTGCAAACTGGTGAAGGGAGAAGCCAGTAGTGTCTCAGTCCAAATGTGAGTCCATTTTTAAAGCATCAAAACCAGAGAAGCCGAGAGCACAGCCTTCAGTCTGTCAAAGGCCCAAGAGCCACCAGCAAGCCACTGGTGCAAGTTCCGGAGTCCAAAACCCAGAGAACCTGGAATCAGATGTCCAAGAGCAGGAGGAGTGGAAGGCATCATCCAGCACAGGAAAAAGAAAGAAACAAGAAAACTTAGCAAGTAAGATTTTCCCACCTTCTTCACCTGCTTTGTTCTAGCTGCATTGACAGCCACCTGGATGGTGGATTGGGTGGATGTTTCTTTCCCAGTCCACAGACTCCAATGTCAGTCTCCTCTGGCAACACGCTCACAGACACACCCAGAAACAATGCTTTACCAGCCATCTAGGCCTTCTTCATTCCATTCAAGTTGACACCTAATATTAACCATCACAATGGCACTACTGACCTATTTATCATCACATATCCTTAGTAATCTCTGAAGATAACAGATTCTTGTAGAAAAAGAATTTAAGGAAAAACAAGATGGTTTTATTTATTTAAGGAAAAACCAAAGGCTAGTCAGGGAAAAACGAGATGCTATTCAATAACCTACATAATGAGACTACAATGAAATATGATTTATTTTGTAATTTTAGACAACCTATGTTATTTTATTTTAAGAGCTCAAAATAATTCAGAAGAACCAGCTTTCAATTACATATTGATATATCTAGGTAGAACCAACCCATTATACTCATGAATGATATAGATAATTGGTAATTTAATATATAGGAAAAAATAAAAATCTTATTTTTAAAATTAGGAAGAAATAATCAGAATAATAATTTTTTAAAGCTGTATGTACAGTGGGAAAAATGTTTAAGAAAATCTGCAGTTCCAGGTCTTAAGCTTACTGAAAATCTCTGAGCAAACTGGTGAAGTATAGGCAGGCTTAATGGAATAAGAATCATGGAAATAATAGTTGAAGCTGTCAAGAAATATGCACATAATTTACATTGTACATACTTGGAATGTTTAAGAAATTTTGACCAGTTAGAATGACATACTTGTGCATCCTATTTTAAATAAATAACTCAGTATTTGGCTTAGAATTATAATTGAGAATTTTACACAGATACTGGATTTTCTAAGAGAGCTTTAGGTTTGTTATGTTTGAAGGATATAAGCGCATACTGGGCCAAAAGGGAAGTTGCTGCCTTGAAGGGAAGGACCCAGTCCTGCAGGATTAATCACTTTCTGACTAAAGACTTCCTGGGCCCTCAATACCAGCAGTGATACCTAGGAACTATGCTGTGGGGATTGGGCTCTGAGACGTGCAGGCTTCACGGATGACCCGGCACATTTCCACCTATGGTGGCTATGATGAAAGACTGCTTCTGTTTGAGAAAACAGGGAAAACTAAGGTGACTTTGTCTTGTACCTTAGATGTCAGCTCAGCCACAGTGGGTTAGGAGTAACAAGCAGGTTCTTGCGGTCCCTGAGTCCAAGCTTAGTCTCTTAGCATTTCTGTATCTGCCCTGGGACAGAGGGGAGCCTGTTGCCCTGAAGGGTAAGTCCCAGGCCTGGCAGCATTCACCACAGCTGGCAGAAGAAACCTCGGCTTTTCAGTGAACATTGTAGTGGCCTGACAGAACCTCCTTGTAGGCCACTGGTGGTAGACTGCAATAAATACCTAACTCTTCAATGCCAAGACACCAAAGACCATCTGCAAGCATCAAGATTATCTAGGAAAACATGCCTTCACCGAACGAACTAAATAGGCACCAGGGACCAATCCTTGAGAAACAGATATGACTGATGTGACCTTTCAGATAGCAAATTCAAAACTGCTGTTTTGAGGAAACTCAATGAAATTCAATATAACACAGAGAAGGAATTCCAAGTTCTATACGTTTAACAAAGAGATTGAAATAATTAAAAATAAGGAGAAATTCTAGTGTTGAAAAATGCAATTGAAATACTGAAGAGCACATCAGTGTCACTTAATAGCAGAATAGATCAAGCAGGAGAAAGAATTAGTGACCTTCAAGAGACCATTTGAAGATACACAGAGCAGAAAAAGAAAAACAATAAACAATGAAGCATACCGGTAAGATCTAGAAAATAGCCTTTTTTAAAAAATACTTGGAACTCTTCAGATTCTCCTTATTTTACAGTTTCTTTTTAAATTTATGAAGTAGGAAAGCATTGTTTTGTAAACTGCTTTTAAAATAAATAGCCCAGTCTCTTATCCTCTTTAGTATGGATTAAAGGTGAAGTTCTGCAAATGGGAGAGTGTTCATAGTAGATAGCTCAGATTGATTGAACACATTTGAGGAAGAGACTCCTGCATGAGATACCAGCATTCTTATGAATATTTCCTATGTATGTTATTTATTTTGTCATTTTTGTCAACCCTGTTCCCAAGTACATCTTCTTTCCTTTTTACTATGTCTATGTAGGGGAAAAACAAAAAACCAAAAATTTCACTTATGTTCCACTCCCAAAAGGTGGTTGTTTCAAAAACCATTTCGGTTTTTGTTTTGTTTTGGTCAGTTTATTGCATAAGTGACAAGTTTGGGTGCTTTCGGCACTTATTTATGAAGGGGGAGGGGAATGAGAATTACCTGTCCTTCAGTATGCTGTCAAAGTAATTTGTGTGTAAGTAAAAAGGGAAAACTGAATAGATGCCAAAGTCATTTATTCAGTCCGTAGTTTTCTTATGTGGCATTACTGCATCTGCTAGTTAGTGAGAAAGCAACCTCAGCTTTTGCTGCTCCTTTCTCTGCCTGCCAACACACTTGATGTGTGCAAACAACCCTCAAGTATCTGTCAGATTGCCTATATAAAGTATTGATAAGGTATTCTTGTCAGTTTAGAAATGGACTAGATAAAATGTACTTTGTTGTCATTATTTTATTTTTCCTGTTACATACCCTATGTTAAGAAAATTATATTGCCATTAATAACCAAGATGCTAAATGATTATTACAACTGGCTAATATCATTTTTTAATATAAGGGTGTGTCTATTTGGAATCGATGTGAGAATTTCATTTGTAACCATTTGACTGATACTGCAGAACAAACACAGATACCTACAGACTCCGTTTTCATTTTCTCCTGTTCTTTATGATAATGATCTTTGTAGATTGATTAAATAAACTTACCTTATCTTATCTATAAGAAAATTACCTTATCTGTAATAAACTTTGTAGATCTGTGGGAAAAAAGGAGAAAGTAGTCTCAACAGAGCAAAGCTAAGAGTTATTGGCTTTAAGATAGATAGAAAACAATACAAAAGATCAGTGAAACAGAAACGTTGTTTTTTTGAAAGATAAACAAAATTAACAAACTTTTAACCAGACTAACAAAGGAAAAAAGAGAGAAGACCCAAATAAACAAAATCTGAGATGAAGAGGGACACATTACAACTGATACCACAGAAATTCAAAGGATAATTAGTGGCTGCTGTGAGCAACTGTATGCCAATACGTTGGAAAATATAGGGGAAATAAATTTCTAGACATTTACAAGATTGAGCCATGAAGAAATCCAATAGCTAAACAGATAAATAACAAATAACAAATAAAAACCATAATGAACAGTCTCCAAGTAAAGAAAAGCCTGAACCCAATGACTTCACTGCTGAATTCTAACAAACATTTAAAGAAGAACCAGTACCAACTCTACTTAAACTATTTCAAAAAGTAAAGGAGGAGAGAATACTTCCAAACTTATTCTACCAGGCCATTATTACTTTGATATCAAAACCAAAGACACATCAAAAAAAGAAAACTAGAGCCCAATATCTCTGATGAATATTGATGCAGAAATCCTTTAAAAAAATACTAACAAACTGAATTCAATAATACATTAGAAAGGTCCTTCATCATGACCAAGTGAAATTTATTTTTGAGATGCAAGGATGATTTATTGGGTACAAATCATTTAATGTGATATACCATGAAGTACTAAAACCGCATGATTATTTTAATTGGTGCTGAAAAAGCATTTGAAAAAATTCAACGTCTCCTCAAATTAAAAACCCTCAAAAAACTGGGGATGCAGGGAACATACCTCAACATGATAAAAGCCACATACAACAAACTCACAACTAGTAACACACTGAATACAGAAAAGCTGAACACCTTTCCTCTAAGATCTGGAACATGGTAAGGATGCCTGGTTTCACCACTCTTATTCAACATAGTACTGGAAGTCCTAACTAGTGCAGTAAGACAAGAGAAATAAATAAAGGTCATCTACATTTTAAAGTTAGAAGTCAACATTATTCTTGTTTGCAGATGACATGATCTTATATTTGGAAAAACCTAAAGATTCCACTAAAAAACTATTCAAACTGATAAATTCAGTAAAGTTTCAGGATACAAGATCAACATACAAAAATCAGTAGCATTTCTATATGGCAACAGTAAACCACCTGAAAAAATCAAGAAAGTAATTCCATTTATAACAATCACAAAATTAAATACCTAGAAATTTACTTAATAAAAGAAATGAAAGAGCTCTACAATGAAAACTATAAAACACTGCTACAGGAAATTGAAGATGACACACACAAGAGTATTACATTTCATGGACTGATGTAATCAATATTGTTAAACTTTCTATATGACCCAAAGCAATCCACAGATTCAATGCAATCCCTACCAGAATACCAATGACATTCTTCACAGAAATTGAAGAAATAATTCTAAAATTTATGTGGAGCCACAAAAGACCTAGAATAGCCAAAGCTATTATGAGCAAAAAGAACAAAACTGAAGGAATCACATTATCTTTCTTCAAATTATACTACAGAATTATAATAACTGAAACAGCATGGGTGTGGCATAAAAACAGACATGTAGACCAATGGAACACAATAGAGAACCCAGAAACAAATCTACACACCTACAGTGAACTCATATTTGATAAAGGTGCCAAGAGCATACAATGGAGAAAGAAAAGTCTCTTCAATAAATAGTGCTGGGAAAACTGGATATCTATATGCAGAATAATGAAACTTGACCTCTATCTCTTACCATATGCAAAAATCAAATTAAAATGGATTAAAGACCTAAATCTATGGATTAAAATGGAATGGATTAAAGACCTCAAACTATGAAACTGCTACAAGAAAACATTCAAGAAATTCTTCAGGACATTGGTCTGAGCAAATTTCTTGAGTAATAACCCACACACAGGCAAACAAAGCAAAAGTGGACAAAAGGGATTATATCAAGTTAAAAACCTTCAACACAGCAAAGGAAATAACAAAATGAAGAGACAACCCACAGAATAGGAGGAAATATTTGCAGAGAAAGAAACTATCCACCTGTAAAGGGATTCATAACCAAAATGTATTAGGAACTGAAACAAATCTATAGGAAAAAAAATATTCAATAAGCCAATTTAAAAATGTGTAAAAGATTTTAATAGAAATCTCAAAAGAAGACATACAAATAGCAAACAGGCATATCAGAAGGTTCTCAACATCACTGATCCTCAAAGAAATGCAAATCAAAACTACAATGACTTGTTAATTCACCCCAGTTAAAATGGCTTATATTCAAAAACAAACAATAAACGCTGACAAGGATGTGAAGAAAGGGAACCCTTGTATGCTGTTGTTTGGAATGTAAATTAGTATAACCACTATGGAGAACAGTTTGAAGGTTCCTCAAAAAGCTAAAATGAGAGCTACCATATGATCCATCAACCCACTGCTTGGTAAATACCAAAAAGAAGGGGAATCAATATATCAGAGATGTATTTGCACTATCATGTTTGTTGCAATACTGTTCGCAATAGCCAAGATGTGGAAGCAACCTACATGTCCACTAGCATATGAATCGATACAGAAAATGTATTTATGCACGATGGAGTACTATTCAGCTAGAAAGAAATAAGATTCTGTCATTTGCAACGACATGGATGGAACTGGAGGTCATTACTTCAAGTGGAATAAGACAGACACAGAAACACAAACATTTCATGCTCTCACTTATTTGTGGGATCTAAAAATCAAAACAATTTAACATGGTGATGGAGAGCAGAAGGACAGTTACTAGAAGATGGGATGGGTGGCGGGGGATAAGGGGATGTGGAGATGGTTAATGGGCACAAAGAATGGAAAGAGTAAATATAGCCTAGTATTTCATAGCAGAACAGGGTGACTGTAGTCAAAATAATTTAATTGTACACTTTAAGATAACTAAAAGAGTATAATTCGATTCTGTGTAAGACAAAGGATAAATGTTTGAAGGGATGGATTTCCCATTTTCCATGTTGGAATTATTACATACTTTGTACCCTTATCACTGTATTCATAAAAGTACAGATATCTTTTTTGATTTCAATTTTTTAATTTTGTGAGTACATAGTAGGTGTATATATTTATAGAATTAATAAAGATTGGGGAAAACTCAGTGAAACAGACAAAATGAAACATGGACAGTAAGAAAAACAAATGAAAGATAAGAGAGAATGTATGTTAACCCAAAAGTTATTTATTTGAAAACATCGATGACATTAATACAATAAAATGACTGTACATGAAAAATGAGAGGTATAAATAAAACTTTGAAAAAGGGAAACAACTATGATAAGAATACTTTAAAAATAATAATCATGAAATTGTTATTAAATTTGTCAATGTAGGCAAAATTGTCACATTTCTGAAATAGGTATAAAGTATTAAAATTGACATGTGAAGAAATGAAAGTGAAATAACAACCAGAAAATAGGTTGAAGTGGTACTCAAAGACAAACTACTCTTTTCCACCCAACCACTCATAAAAAGAATTTCAGACTAAAAAAGACATTACGGGTAGATTTTAACCAAGTTTTTGAGAACTAATTGCTGTTCTAAACAATTGGCTCTAGAAACAGATAAAGAAGGAAAGTTGCCTAATTCTTTTTCTGGAACTAACATAACCTTAACTCTAATTCTTACAGAGTGATGAAATATTATAGTCCATTTTCTTTTTTTTTCAAAGTCAGTCTCACTATGTTGCCCAGGATAGACTGGAACTCCTGGGCTCAAGCAATCCTCTAGGACAAGGTACTGGGTCTATGTGCCTCTGTGTTCAGCTTAAGAAGACCATTTTAGTTACAAACAGATGTAAGAAATCTTACTTTAAGTAAATCTAACCATGAATTTAAATCATGATGGTGAGACACCAGAAAAATAGTTATGGTAATTTATATATTAGTGGACAAATGGGGAAATAAATCTTACTAGAGGCAGAAAAAAATTAATTGTTCAACTTCTCTTCACATAAGATAGTAAACTAGAAGAGAACCACCTACACTTCGTAAAGGCTAAATAAAGCAAGCATTATTTTTAATGGAAAAACTTTAGAGGAATTTACATTAATAGCAGAAATAAGAGATGGATGTTTATTAATATTGTCATTGCTTAAAATAGTACTTCAGGTCCTGAAAAAATGTTAAGAAAAGGAAAGGAAGAGGTTTCAGGATTGGAAGAGATTGGAAGAGAAGCGGTGAAAACCATCATTATTTGTTGATGATAGGATTATCTACATAGGAAGCCCAATATAATCAAAATATTAAAACTGATATAAAAGTTCTGCCAAATAGCTGGCCATAGATCAACTTATAATATGGGTAATAACTAGTTGGAAAATATAGTAAAATGTAAGTACTATTCTCAAAAGTAACCCATAGTATCTAACAATTCATGTACTAAAAATTCACAGGACCTTTTTAAGTAAGATGTAAAACTTCGGGTAAGGAACTAATGAGAGAGATGTCCTATGCATGGGTAGAATAACTTCACATAATAAAGATATCAATTTTTCATAAATTAATTTATAAATGTAATGCCATAACAAACACAATTTTATGTGCAATTTTTATAAACTTGTTCTAGACATGATATGAAAATATAAAGACATGCCAATAAATCTATTTTGAAAAAAGAAGAGAAAAATTTACCAGCAGGCATGAGTAATTAAAAATAGGATGGAACTTGACTAACAGCAGCAAAATAGACATATTGAAGGGAATCAATAGTAAAAGAATAATATATATACATTTATACTGATATTTATATGTGAACTTGACACATGATTAAGTGGCACCACAATTAATATGGAAAGGGTGGGTCAGACAAGGATAGGAAAATTAGATCACCAATGGAATATATTAAAAAGCTGGACTCATATCCTTCATCCTCCAATGTAACGTGCCATATCTTAATTGTGCTTTAAAGTGCTGTTGCATGTCATCACGGATGAGGTAAGAGTTGAATCAAGAGTTTACTTAGATAGCTATTGTTATGGTATATCCACAAAGAAGGTAATTTGGACTAGGGTGGTGTCAAGGGAGATGGTACAAAAATGCAAAGTGTGCAATTTTGACTTGTTCTCCTAAGCTCTGAACTCATGTCCAGCCACCTATGAGGCACCTCTGTCTCCATTCCTATAGGTCATGTATACAGATGTATTTGCTCCAAATGAATCTACTCCTCCTCTTGAGTACATTATTGAGTACCAGCACTAGAGACCTGGTAGCCATCCATTAATAACTTTGATAGTCCTTATCATATCTCCACTGTTATTAGCTTAATTTGAGCTTCTTATGCTACATCTGTTGTAGCAGTAATATTACTTACCTGTCAACCTTCGACTGAAACTTATACCTTTAGCCAGGGACACAATTAGTTAAAACAAAATTTGGACTTCATGATATAGTAACTTTTTCTTTTTCTATTGTTTTTTAAAATAATCCTCGTTTCTTAGTATTTAAAATTATTTACTAAAATATTTAATGGACCTTGTTTTAGTCGGAATGTGGAACAGGGGCTTCGAGGGACACGCGCTTCTACTGGACATTATAACACAATTAGCCGAATGGATAGACATCGTGTCATGGATGACCATTATTCTCCAGATAGAGACAGGTAAATATGATTAAATACTATTAGACCTTATTATTAATATAATCACTGCTTTCAGGAAGGGGGTGCCGTAAAATGTTTTCACATATTCCTTTACCTTAGTTTCTAAAACAACGTTTTTCTGTTATAATGCTTACATTATTTCTTATGACTGCCACATTGTTAAAAATAAGTAAATACAACATTTTCTCTGGTAAGAAAAAACAAAATCATCTTTCTTTCGCCATTTTGGTTTTTTGTTTAATCAAAACAGTTAAATTAGTGAATCTGTACAAGTGATTATAATGTTAATTAGAATGAAACCAAGATGTTTTATTATTTTTGCCTTGTCATAACCAAATATATATATATGTATATATATGTATATATACATATATATATATTTTAATGAGACAAAAGATTTTAACGTCTTTTACATTCATCAGAGAAATTGGTGTGACTTTTCACATATAGAAGTATTGAGACAGAGTCTGATTTGTTTAGGAAACATTTTATCATGATTCATGAAGAGGTTTTTCCTCATGGCTTTCAGTAAACCTTATAAGCATCTTAAAGATTGATTGCTGTATTTGGAAGAACTCTCTGAATTTGCTCCATTTAATGTGACAAACTTGGAAGTAACATGGTATGTTACAATGCTTACATTAATTACTGTTAACCTTTTTAAGTTAAGCAAATTGATAAACTCTCTAATTCATGCTTTGGTTATACATGAAGTAAATGCTATCATATTTTTCCCAAACTATTCAAAGGATATGATAAAATAATGAAGGAACTCAGAAGTCCTTTTGTATGCATCCTAAACCAATTTTAGGAAGAATATTTGGGGTTGTCTAAATTAAGATTATACTTAATTCATGATTATAATTTCACTGTGATTTGGGATACATTTCCAAGAGTACAGAGGGGATATTGCAGTCTTCAATAGTGTCTAACAAGCATTGGCTTTTGTGCATGAGATCTAAGAAGACATTATATCCAAGAAATTATTAAATTAATAGTGCTATTAGTGATAAATGAAAGTTAATGTAGTATTTTATTTTAATTTGCTTAACTTTTTATAATAATCTGTATTTTTAGAGGTAATTATAGTCATGCTACCTATAGAAGTTGATGCTTATTAAGTATAATACTGTAATAGAAAGAAGGATTACTATGTTGGCATGATTAGGAGTTGAAAGGAGTCATATTAGGATGAATGAAGAGGTATTTTAGTTGCCTAATAGCATTTTAATGAGCTTGATCATTTCTGGAAATTATTTATATACCAAATCACAAACTCCTTGTTCATTGAAGTTTTGTTAATGGAAATGATGAGAGAGAAAAGTCTCAAATGAATTTAAACTTCCTTCAATTTTATGTAAACTTTTACTTTAATGACTAAAAAAAGGACTCGATGTTTTCTTTAAGACAAGTGAATACGTTCTAAATCTTGCAGAAAAAATAAAATTAACATCTAGAATTAATACTTATAAACAAAAATGATTGCTATCATGACAAATGCATAATATTTTATAAATATTTGAAGGCAAATGACCCTGGGTTTAATGGCAAAAAAACTTCCTATTAAAGCGTAGATGATTAATCCTTGGTATTGGTTAATATAGTCATATTAGGTAATTATCATGTCAGACATATCCTACAGTTTTTATGTCTATCCCAGTTTATCTCTACAACAGAAATGTCATTATATCTTTAATTTTTATTTTTAAAATTTGTAAGTCTTTTAGTTAAGCAGAAATGTTCCTACAATTATTTTCTGAAGTTTTGGAGAAAATTGATCCATGTGGCTTTTATTTCTCTTTTAGAGCACTGTAGATCCCAGATCACAATTACTCTTAATTGTGAGCTGCCTTAAATCTTTTTTTTTTCAAATAAGTAAAATAGAATTTCATTTAAATAGGAATATAAAACCAATTCTAATATTATTTGGATTATTTGTGTAATCACTGTTCATTAACATGAGGAATAAAAAAGCAAAAAGTTCAATATTCATGTACATAGTCTATAACATTATTAAACAACAAGTTCTTAATTCCTGTTTTATCTTAAGATTCGAAGAGTTTTGGTAATAAAATGCAGATGGGTGCATTATGATTTTTAGAAGGTAAGAATACTCTAGAAGTTCTACCGTGAATTTTCATGAATAGCATTTTAATCAATAATACTGTTGATCAAAAAGCCTAAGAGAGAATTTCCTTTGAGATAATAAAAATAATTTAGGTTTTTTGAGAGGTACAATAACCTTTCTTGTCAGAAAGAATTGTTGCACTAGGCTAGAATAGTATAAATACTATTTTATTGAATGTAATATGTAATATTATTTTACTGAATCTTTTTTATAGAATTTTAAACAAAATGGCCTTGATTTTGAATATAGGATTTTACCTCTTGCTACCTCTGGAGTTTTTTTTTGTTTTTGTTTCTGTTTTTTTGGAAAATTAACATCTTTGACACTTGGTTTTCTTACCTGTAAAATTAGAATATCATAGATTAAATGACTAGTATTAACTTTATTGAGTTGTGTAGATTAAATGACACTGCCTCCAATTTATAGTATGTACTGAAAATACATGCCTTAACCTTACCATTTTAAAAGGATATATTCACTTGCAAATAATTTACATTTAATGTGCTTAGTAATTAAGAGAAAAAAGAGAGCTAAAGAGAGAAATCAGCCAGTTAATATAGTGTTGTTTTGTTTCTGTTTTTGTTTTTTTGTTTTGAGGCAGTCTTGCTCCCTCACCCAGGCTGGAGTGCAATGGTGCAGTCTCGGCTCACTGCAATCTCTGCCTCCTGGGCTCAAGCAATTCTCCTGCCTCAGCATCCCAAGTAGCTGGGATTACAGGTGCCTGCCACTATACTCAGCTAATATTTAGTTTTAGGTTTTTGTATTTTTAGTAGAGATGGGGTTTTGCCATGCTGGCCAGCCTGATCTCAAACTCCAGACCTCACATGATCCACCCATCTTGGCCTCCAAAGTGCTGGGATTAGAGCGGTGAGCCACTGCATCCTGCTCATGCAGGGTTTTTTTTTTTTTTTTTTTCAATTTCATATAGAATGAATATAGTGCACGAATTGGACCTTGAAAAATGGTCACATTTATCCAGGCAAGACCTAGGGCAAAAGTAGACTATATTGAATAAGAAATGATGTTATTTGCCATTCATTGATAGTAATTAAACTTGGGTGGTGTATGGAGAAGATAAAGTATTTATATCCTTTCTATAGGTAATCAAAAAATTTATATATATATACACACACACATACATACATACATTATTATTATTTTTTTTTTGAGACACAGTTTCACTCTTGTTGCCCAGGCTGGAGTACAGTGGTGCGATCTTGGCTCACTGCAACCTCTGCCTCTCGGGTTCAAGTGATTCTTCTTCCTCAGCCTCCCAAGTAGCTGGAATTACAGGCGCTTGCTGCTGGCTATTTTTTGTATTTTTTAGTAGAAATGGGGTTTCACCATGTTGGCCAGGCTGGTCTTGAACTTTTTAAAATTAGGTCTTTGTATCTCTGCATATCTCACTGTATTATCATTAGTCAAAATCCTATTCTGCTTTAAAAAGTAAATAGATTCTTTACAAGTAATTTAGAAACCTGGATACAAGGATTCAGCTAAAACAAGGGATTATTAAGCATATCTTTCATCTTCTACCTCCCTTCTCCCACTTTTTATACCATTGTTGTCCTGATACATCCTGGTAACTACTACAACTAGGAATGTAATTATTCCTGAGGCAGACTATGTGGCCTTAGTATTAGAAGGCACGGTGGCAGGCACCAGTAATCCCAGCTACTCAGGAAGCTGAGGTAAGAGGATTACATAAGCCCAGGGAAGTCAAGGATGCAGTGAGCCATGATCACATCACTGAACTCCAGCCAGGGTGACAGAGCAGGACACTGTCTCCCAAAAAAAAAAAAAAAAAAAAGCATTAAGTAATGGTTGTTGGAAACTATAGTTTTACTTAATATATTTTATCTCCCATTTTTGCAGTTCTTTTTTGTATGGACTAAAGTGATTACTAAAGGGGACATCCAGCTAATTTAATATAGTGGAAGCATAATTCATTATAAATATAATTTTGTTTTGTCTTGAAGGGTTATATTGCTTAAGAATCAGTATCTAGAAATTGGATTAGTAATCTAGTTTAATTCTTTGAATAGTAATTTTTTTCATAAGCCTTAGAATCTACAACTTCTTTATTTTGTTTTTGCTTTGTAAAATTTAGTAAGTGTATTTTTTTTAATTTACTCCTCAAATAGATTGGACTAACTGCAGTTTTAATGTAACTTACTTTATTTGTTTAATTCATTATGCATATTTAAGATACTATGCATATTTATTGCTCAAATTTTATAATGTCCATTAATTTTGGAAAAAAAGTAAGCATGGTTCAGTGGAGAAGTGTAATACGTTTTACAGTTGTACCAAGTGGATGCAGCAGAGGACCTTGAGTGTGACTATGGACCTTAGGTGGATTTTAGAGGGCTTAGTAAAACACAATGATAAATTTTGTGTAATGTTCATGCATGAGTTTTCATAGTTTTCAACAGAATCTCAAGGAGGGTCATGACCAGATAAAGTTAAAGACTAACATAACTAGAGACAGAAATGAGAAACAAAATAAATTCATGTTTGATAATGGTGATTGTTGCTTAATGCCTTCTTTGGCTTTATAGGGACAAAGTTAATTATAAGTCTCTTCAAAGAAACTATTAGAATTGGATTATTTTATATGTAAACTTCAAAGCTTGTTAAAATATTTTATAAATTTCAACAAGCTTTAAAGTTTACACATTTTTTGTTATTCTTAAGTAATTTTGGAGAAAACCTATTCCTTTTAAAGCCATAAAGCCCAACATCACAACTGTTGGGTATTATTTCTCTTCTTCATAAAGCTATGAATACTTTTAAAATATTTTTCTATTTTCTTATACTACATAGGCTTGTAATCTTCTGTTTGCATTTCTAGAATGTTTCTATGATTATATGAACCTTTTTTTTGAGAGAAGGCTCATCATGAAAACAGTATAATTTTGATTTTACTTTTTAGTGCAATCCAAAATATATTTATCAAGTAGATAAACTACTGTGCACAAAGATTTAAAACAGACATTATCCTGGTCTAGCCAGACAAACTATCAAATATCAACTAATTTAAAAATGTTGAAGACTATATGGAAGAAGGATAATAATATTGGAAAAGATTGGAGAGAAAATTACTTGATTGGGGAAACTGGAAAAGGCATCAAAAAGAAGTTAGGCTTTAAAGATTGAATAAGATTGTGAAAGGTGAAGCAGTGGAGATGGAGAAGGATGGGCATTCTTGACAGAATGATGACCATGAACAAAGCCTTGGAATCAGGGAAACACATGATATAATTAGAGATTCTTAGGTGGTCTGTTGTACCTAGTTAAGAAGTGGTGGTATGGGGAATGGAAAGTGATAGAAAATGAAGATTGAAAGTGGTTTAGAAATTTTAGGGAATTTACACTTATTTTTTGATATCAGGAACCAGTGAAGAATTTTCGGTAAGGTATCTACATGATCAGAAAGCATAATATGCAAATATACTTCTGTAGACAGGATGAAAATTGGATTGGCAGGGTAAGACTGGGCTCTGAAGGCAAGAAGACCTAAGAGAGGGTCTTAGGTTTCAATAGATAGAGTAAACCTGATTTAAGGTGTTGGCAGGAGAAAAGGAAAAAGAGAGAGAGATCTGAGTTATTTAGGCATCAGAACAAGCGAAGCTTGTAAATGAATTGAATGTGAAAAATGAGGAAATAGAGGAGTTAAATTCTGAGATTGTAAAACTTGGTTTATTAAATATTATTTTAATGCTTAGTTGAAGCTAGGAATGCAAGAGATTACAAGAAGAGAAATAGCTGAAGTATTATATTAAGTTCCAAAAGGGGATTAAAGAATTATGTTAAAAAGGACTTCAGAGATGATGGAGTCCTATGTTTTGTAGAGGTGCCTGAGAGACTGCTATGACAGGTTATGATGAGGCCAAATGTGTCGGGATCTAGGCTTCTTACTGTCTTTAGCCAGCATCATTCTGATTTTATTTCATTACTGTATGTTGATTCTATATTCAATTTTGTTTGGGGAAAAAAAGGGATCTGCTAAAAAAAAAAAAAAAAAAAAAAAAAAAAAAAAAAAAAAAAAAAGTTTGAAAACCACTGCTTGAACCTCATTTCAAAAATCAGCACCATTGTCCAAATAGGCAAAGGGTTATTGTTCTAGTCTCACAATGAACATATGTTTTCCTGAGTTGTCTACATGTCACTCAAGCATTATGTGGAAAGCCCAGAAGCAGATGGAAAGGTGCTGTGCAACCCCAAATCAATACTAAAGCAGAGTTACTGTTTACGCCATAAAAATAATTGAATTGTTTAGAAAAAATGTGTTGCAATGTAAGGTCAGGAAATGAATATTGGAAAACCACCACTTCTCTACAGAGAGAGGAAATCCACTACATTAAATGGATGAAGAAGCAGTCATAGGTGAGAGACCAGGCTGTATGTGCAAATGTGTTAAGAGCTTGAGTTTTGAATTAAGAAAGCCTTGAGTTTGAAACTCAGTTCTGCCACTTACTGTATGGCTCTGGGCAAGCACTGACAGCCTCAGTTTCTCTGTCCGTGCAAATGTGGGAATAGTAGAACCTACCTCAAAGAGTTGTTATAAGAAGTAAATGAGATCATGTAGGCAAAACTTTTAATGGGGTACTTGGCACATAGTTCAGTGTTAAATACTATGTTTAATAGCCAGAGAGATAGTGTTTCAGAAACCAAAAAAGGAGAGAGTATTAAGAAATAGGGATTTGAAAATCAATGTCTAAAACCAAAGATAAGTGTAGTATTATGAAGATTAAGAGGAGACAGAAGGATTTTTAGGGGATTTCACAGATAGCATTCATAGGATAGTTTCAGGAGAATGGTAGAGGCAGAAGTCAAATTACAGTGAGCTTAAAGTATGAAAGCAAAGTCTGGCAGAGGTGGCAAGAATTATAGGTATGTATTTTAAGATGTTCTATGTTGAAAAGAAAATGAGTGAGATGCAATGGCTTGAGAAGAAGGAAAGGTTAGCAGGGTTTTATTTTTAGGATTAAGTGCAGTTGAGGAAGGGAAGGCAGGAGAGGATAATAAATGAAGTAAGGTCGTGTGGGAAGCAAGATTACAGGTAGAGGCATCTCTTTCAGTGCAGAAGACAAGGACAAGTGAAGATTTAAATGTATGTTCATTTTCTATTTAGAGATAGAATTGTGCAAGTTGAGCAAGTTCAAGGTTCATTTCCATTGTTTATGGAAACATCATGATAACATGCTAATATTAATTGTTTTAGTATTAAAGACTCTAAGAAAGTAGGAAATTTTAAATTAGTGCTGTGAAAAGAAGAGATGGGTAAAAGATCAGTGTGCTGCTTATGGTAGTTATAAGGTATGAAGGTAGCAAAGCCAATAGCATGTAATACATAATAAACATAGTGAATGGAAAAATGACTAAAGCCCAATAAATTTAATAAATACAATTAATAAATAAAAGTAATTTGGATCAGTTTGTTTTTTATTAACTGGAATTGTTAAAGCCCTTTGTAGTTATTTTTAATTATTAATAATTAAAATTGAAATAGTTACCTTATAAATTTCCCAACTTTTATAAGTATTTGAAATTACCTCTTTTATTATTTCCTTCTTAAACTTTCTGGTTATTTTATTTTTCTCATCTCATCTTTCCTTCTAAAAAATGGTAAAGCATCTCTATCATATAACATTCTAGATGGTGCTAAAGATATTTGAGTAATAATTGATAATGTTATATTTTTGTTGCATTTTATTTTTAAATATTTAGAAATATTTTAACCGTCGGCACTGTCATATTACGATGAACATTGGGAGGAGGGAGCAAGCTTTCCAATAATAGTTTCCATTTGCTTTGCTTACTGTCTGCCTATCTTTTTGAATCTCACTTTTAAAATTAAACTATACTTTTTCACTTCTTTCTTGAGTCTTATTTATATTCTTGTTTCTGCCACGCTTGCAGTCATTTTCTTACTCTACCTCGCTGCAGATACAGTCAGAGCATTGACCATCATCACAGGGATGGCAGGTATATTTTTCTTACAATTGAGTCTGTTTGTGGAATTGCTTGTGGCTATGTATTAATATGATTATAGTTCACTTTTATTTATGTATATATATATATATATATATATATATGGTTGTTAATGAAATACAGAAATATCACCCATATAAAATAACATGAAATAAAACATATATTAACTAATTGTAGTAGAACATCAATACAGTGTCCCTTTCATAAATTAAGATCACCTCTTTGATGATTCTAAAAATTTAGTTCATCAAGAATTACACTTAATTCTCTATTGCCTATAAAGGTAGAATAACAGTATTCTTTTTAAATTAACTCCTGTTGACTGCCCACCTTCATCCACAGAGTTCATAATTAGGTATTTAGATGGCATATGTCTTAAAAACTCAGTTTCCAACCTCACTGTCCCAGAGTAGTGGAGTCTGTCTTTGAAGTGATTAAGTTAAACTTGTTTGTGGTTACTTTGTCAGAGGAGGCTTTGATCTACTCCTTTGTCATAGTAGATAATCCTTATCTACAGAGAATACTGAATTTGTGAGAAAACACTCGTTCATTTCTACCCTACCACCGTTTCTCTTTCCAAAGTGGGAATTTGCAGTGAATCATAGATAGTACAGCTACAATGCCTTAAGGAAAAATAATTTACATGGGGGGGAAATCTCAATTACATGGCATATAACAGCAAGAGGAGTTAACTTGAAAGGTTAATTAGAAAAAGAAGGGAAAGAAGATCCCTAAAATTTGAAAAATTCTCAAGGCTGAAGATTTACAGATGTGAGCCAGTGATAACATTTGAGATCCTTTAGGTAAAGAAAGAATGTGGTAGAAGGCTTAGCTAGTCTAAATTAGGAATTATGTACCATGGTTAGTCACCTTGACTATTGTTTCTAAGTGATTTGGAGTTCTGTGTGACTCTTTTCATCCCTATGAAATAGTTTAATAGTAAAAGAGTTTATAAAAATGATTAGAAACTAATCAGTAAATTTATTAGAATTGAATTTATGTGAGTATATGTGAAAGGAAACATAAGAGGTAATAGCAACAGTAAGTTGCTAATAATTTTTGTAATATCTTTCAGCAAATATAATTGAAATTTAGTGCCTTCCAGTTTAATTATATGATAATGATTATTGCTATATTTAATTTTCTTTTGCATTTTTTCACTCTGGTTTTTGTTATCCTACTTCATTCCTAAATAATTATCTTTTGTTGTTTTTTGTTTTTACTGTTGCTATATATTACATTCTGTTTTTTAGTTTTAGTAATTATACATTTACCTTACAAAAATATGGAATGGTAGTTACATATCTGTATTTTGATAATTGGCTAAAGCTTTTTTAAAGGTGGGTGACATACATGAGTGAGACATTACTGATTATAGACTTATTGTATATACTCTTGTGTCTCTTCATTTCATTCTAAGTTAAAATCATGTATCACATTATTTTTTCAATACTTTGTATTTTCTTAGTCTCAGTTATCAACAAACAGGTTGTCTGCTTCATGTTACTTAGTTTTTCCATTCACCAATATAGCTATAATTAGTTCTTGGTCATCTCTAGGTGGTGATTAATTTTGTACCTTTACTTAAATCTTCAACTTCAGCCTAACTGGCCCATTTTGAAGAAGACATTTATGAATTGTCTTTCTATGCCACAATTTGGTTTGTGCTGAGGAAACAGAGATAATTAATGTTTATATTGAAATGTAACATGGAAAAATCTGTTTCTACAAGCAAGTTATCTAGTATCTAATGTAGGATTGCTACATATATTTGCATGTATTAAGTTATTTGCCTTGCTCTAGGACAAAAGAAACTCTTGAGGGCCTGACCTAAGTCTAGTGGCCTACTCCTAGACAATATGGGTAGAATTGGTAAGAATGAAGTTCCTTAGTTTTTTAAAAAATATATTTTATTTTTCATTTTCAACCCCTTTTCATCACCTTGTCTCTACTGCCCTTCCCAGTCTTTGGTAACTACCATTTTATTGACTGCCTCCATGAGATCAATTTTTTTGGCTCCCACATATGACTGAAAACATTCAATGTTTGTCTTTCTGTCTAGCTTATTTCATTTACTATAAATGTCCTTTATTTTTATTCATGTTGCTATAAATGGCATGACTTTATTCTTTCTTTTTTGGCTAACTGATACTCCATTGTGTGTGTCCATATCATGGCTATTGTACATGGGAGTGCAGATATGTCTTCAATATAGTGATTTCATTTCTCGGGAATATATACCCAGAAAAGGGATTGCTAGATCATATGGTAGTCCAGTGTTTAGATCTTTGAGGAACATCCATACTGTTTTCTGGTTGTACTAATTTATAATTCTACAGCAGTGTACAGACACTCCCCTTTCTCCTCATCTTCTCCAGCACTTGTTATTTTCTGATTTTTTTCATAATAGTCATTTTAACTTGAGTGAGATGATATCTCACTGTGGTTTTGATTTTCATTTGTCTGATGATTAGTGTTGTTGAGTATCTTTTATATACCTGTTGTATGTCTCTTTTGAGAAATGTCTATTCAAATATTTTATCAATTTAAAAAATCAGATTATTATTGTTATGTGGTGCTGTTGAGTTGAGTTCATTATATATTCTGGTTATTAATACCTTGTTGGATGAATAGCTTGCAAATATTTTCTTCCATTCTGTAGGTGTCACTTCACTTTGTATAATGTTTTCTAAGCTGTATAGAAGCTTTTTACCTTAATAGAATCTCATTTGTTAATTTTTGCTTTGGTTGCCTGTGTTTTTGAGGTCTTACTCAAGAAATCTTTGCTAGATAGAAGGAATAAAATCTAGTGTTCAATAGCACAATCAGGCAACCATAGTTAACAATAACTTACTATATATTTTAAAATATCTGGAAGAGAAGATTTGAAATGTTCCCAACACAATGAAATGGTAAATGTTTGAAGTAATGGATATCCCAGTTGCTTAAATTTGATCATTGCATATTGTATGCTGTGTCAAAATGTAACACATACACCATAAATGTGTACAACTAATATGTATCCATAATTTTAAAAAATATATTAGCTTTCAATCTAATTTTGCTATATACAAAAGAATGTGTATTAGTTACAGCATATAGTAATAACATGAACAACCTTGAATCTGCTACCCAGAGAAACAGAACATCTATTTTTTTATTGTTTTTTTTTTTAACCAAAGGAGCCATATGCAGAACCAGAACATCTAAGTATGTATTTTGCATTTCCCAACACTCTCCTTGCCTGTTATATCCCTGTGTCTCTTTTACAGAAGTAATAAATACTATGCTGAGTTTGCAGTACAGCTTTCTCTTTACTTTTTTTAAGGGACTTTGATAATTTGTTATTTACTCTACTGATTTTTTGAGCTTCTCATCCCTCTGACCTCCATCCCAATCCTCTTTGAGATTCTTGGACTGGCCTTTTTTTTTTTTTTTTTTTTGGACATTTGTTGAATGTGTGAATGCTGATCTAGTAATTTATCCATTTTCTTGTATTTACTTCTATAATGTTTTGTGCCTGTTATTTTTATATCTGGTGCCTTTTATGTTTGGAACTAAACACAACCACCTACTACCCTTTGTTGTTTCTATCATTTGTTGACCTCTTAGTTATACCATTTTATTCACTGATGATTTTACAACCTGGCTTTAGTGTTCCTCAACATCACAATTCCTGCCATCAAGCCTGAGTAATGTCAGCATTTACCTGAATAATCTATTTAGCACCCACTCACTTCCTTAACTTTCTCTAATATGGTGAGCTTTACCTCCAATTCTACTTTGGTCATCACTCTCATGATCATACTTTACATTTAATTATCAGTAGAAATTGTTCTAGCTCTGAAATATTAATTTGAATACTATACTCTTGGACTCCATGATTACACACTTTTTTTTTCTTCTTTCATTAAGTTATTTCTACTTCACTCACTTTTCTGTCTCAGTAGAGATTACTACTTTCTTGACCTGTTTATTTTCTTGATGTTAGCCTATACCTTTCTTTATCATATCCAGAAGCTGAATTGATTCTCAGAAATATCCTCAGTTCTCTTGCTACATTGTTCTTATTTTACCTGTTTATCAAGGTTCAAATCTGGATCACTCTCTTTCTCTTGTAGAATGGTTTTTGGATGAGATTATCCAAATTCTCACTTACTTGAGTCAAAATAATTAACCACTTAAAATTGAACAATAAAAAGTTACTTTTTAAATGAGAGCTATGGAAAAAGAAAGTGATGTTAATATCTAAGTATTCAGTTATCTAGCCTAGGTTTCAAGTGTTTTCAGCTAGGTTTCAATATGCTTTCAACTGGGAATTGTCTTCTAGTAATAAATATGTGTTAATAGCTTCAAGTGGGCCATAGTTTGGCTGTGTGATAGCTGGAATTTTCTAAATGAATGGCATGAATGTAGTAAATTCAACATCATCCCCAGTTATGCCCAGTTTATTAGAAGAAGCTGGACTTTCAACATTAGTGTATACCCTAGACTATAACATGAAAAATTATGAGTACTACCTCTTTGGCAGAGAAGAATAGCGATTTAAATAATGTTCACTAAGCTTTTTTATATTACTTCAAGAGACAATATTAACTAACAGTAGAAATCAAAGCGTGTCTTCTGGCCAGGTTATACTAACTAGTATAAAATAATCTTGGAATCATTGTGCATTTTAAAATGCACTCATTATTTAAACAAACATGTTTAGAACGGATATGTTACCCTTTATTAATATCTCTTTACTAAAATATACCCTTTTAAAAAATAAATCTAAACTTTATTTTTTTTTACATTTACCTTTTTACCCCAGTTATTTTTCTAGTACTTATTTCTGCTTAGAGCTGTACACAACATATTAAGGAACTACTGACATCTGTGATAGGCAGCTAGATTTTTATGTAAAATATCATGGAAGAGACAACAATGCAGCTGTATCTTAAAGAATAAATAGAAATTATTTAGATTTATGTGGAGATAAGGTAGGATGTTGG